TTGGCAATCCTAAGAAGCCTTTTGCATTTGGGGCCAAAAGGCCAAAGGTCAAGTTCACAGTGGCTAAAACAATAGAAATCTTGTCAGCGCAATAACTTGAGAAATACTTTACATGTGAAATTCAAATTTGGTTTGTGGATTGTTCTTGGCAATCCTAAGAAGCCTATTGTATTTGGGGCCAAAAGGTCAAGTGTCAAGTTCACAGTGGCTAAAACAATAGAAATCTTGTCAGCGCGATAACTTGAGAAATACTTAACATATGAACTTCAAATTTTGGTTTGTGGATTGTTCTTGGTAATCCTAAGAAGCCTATTGAATTTGGGGCCAAAAGGTCAAGGGTCAAGTTCACAGTGGCTAAAACAATAGAAATCTTGTATTTATTCTGAGATTATAGGGATTAGGGATTAATTCATATAAAACCTACAGAAGACACTAATGCTGTCAATGAATGTTCCATGTGACCAAGGTTCATGTAAGTTGATGTTAAAAGAGTGGTGTTATGTCATGGGAACAGTCACGGTTGCGGGGCATTTGTGTTTGTAAACACACCTGACTTGTTTAATATTTTCTTTTATTTGGGTCTAGATCATTCTGACTTGCCCTGTTCACGAATATTTCGTGATTTTTCTCAGAAGTTGACCACATTTTAAAACTGGTGAATTTTGCTGTAAACGTCAACTTTGCTTTCCAGTTTCGGTAGTTTTGCGCGAAAGTTTATAAAAACTGGCCCTTAGGCCAAAAAAAAAAAATATTCGGTCTCTGGTCAGACCAAAGTTCCGGAATTGATGCGGGGACGCGGCTTTTTTTTTTTTTTTTTTTTTGGCTTTTTTTTTTTTTCCTTCAAGCTTGGATTGTACAGACAAGGTGGGGTACTATTTTGCTTTTTGGGTGTCCTCATGTGCATTGGTGTCCTACATAATTTGCCTTGGTGCTCTCAATCATTTGCTTTGGTGCAATTTCCCATTCCTTGGTGCTCTTTGGTAAAAAAAAAAATGAGGAGGGGCGGCAATAGAGGGCGCTGTTGGAGCTACCGCGGAACATTTTGGAGGAAAAAAAAGGTTGACACGCATGATTAAAATCGACGCGCGCGCTGACCAGAGACCGAATACTTTTTTTTTTTTGGCCTTACAATGCACATTTTTTTTCATGATAGTATTTCACAATTTAATGTAGTTTCTCTGATTAATTGATTGTGTGAAGGCTGACTCACAATCGGCACATGCAGATTATGCAAGTTCATGATTTTCTCAAACATTTGCCGCCTGATTTTAAAACTGGTGAAGTTTGCCGTAAAGGTCAACTTTGCTTTGCAATTTGCATAAAGTAAAAACGGCCCTTGAAATGTACTTTTTCTGATTCATTGACAAGCTAGAAAGTGCATGAACTTATAGATGTATCTGGAAGAGTTCTTTTATCTTTTGGTTCTCATAACGGCTTCAAAATTTGTAGTTGTGGTTTACACGTGTATGTTTTTCATGCATGGAGTGTGGTACCGGTATTTGCAAGCGGTTTTTTCTTCTTTTTTTGGCGGAGTAGTTTGGTGTCTAGGTCTTCAACAAGTAGGAAACCAAAACTAAAGTCTAAAACATTTGTTTAATGGAGGGAAGAGACTATGTTTCCTTGATTAAAAAAAGGCACTTGTTAAATACTTCATGCAGTTTTCAGTGATGATGTCCAAGTCAACTTGTCCAACAATAAACTTTGTAAAAATAATATCTCTGATCTGTTCTGCTGTTAACAAAGTCACATTTTAATTTTGGCTTAAATTGGTTTGCATGTGTCATCCATTTTTGTTACATGTATGTTCAGAGGGTACAATAATGCCAACTTCAGGGGTATTGCTGATTGGGGTTGTCTTTTATTAACAGGGCAGTAAATGGTTTAAGCAACAGTTTCTTGTAGGAGTTAACACGTTGACTGCTGACTACGAACATACATTCATAGTGACATTCATACTGGAGTTTGCCGTATTGAGTATACTCATAGTAATTATGGCTTTTGTATTGTAAACTAAATATTTTGGTGCTGCTGAAAACACAACAAAGCTACTTGCAGTTTGAGAACAAAAGTGTACCTAATGGTTATGTTCACATTATCAAATTATTGTTTTGTAGTGACAAGCACCCCAGATTTTGCCACTACAAGTATTAATACTCCTAGTAAATATAAGGCTTTTGCATTGTAAACTGAATATACTGGCTACTGGCAGTTTGAAATTATCAAATTATTGTTTTTTATTACCAAATAAATATGTGCACATGCGTACATTTTGCTTGGCAAACTGGGAGGGTGGGGGGGGGGCGCCCTGTAAAAGTTTTGAGCGCAGTCAACAAAGGCAGTTTCGAAGGCAGTGTACCCCAGAGATTTGGGAGTCCGTACATGGTGGTCCCTACTTTAGAAAAAGTGCATTTCTGGATATTTTATTTCTTTACTTTGATTGGAAAAGGTCTGTTTAGTCCAGCAAGACATCACAGAAGAAGGCAAACAAGATACCTGCAGAAATATATTATTTAAAGGGCTCATGTTATTTAATTTTATTAAATGCAATCCTTGGAAATGCACCTTTTGTGTCCCATTGAACCTTATTTTCATTTTTTGTCTTGCCATTTTTAAGGGCATTGTGGTGCTTTTTTTTTGGTTTTTATGCTAATGCAGTTTGCATTCGTGAGCAAAAGCGTGATGTCATTTCAGGCAGAAACCTCAATGTTACAGCTATTTCATCGTCAACAGTTGCCACAATTTGGATATTTTTGCTGTAATAATATTTTTTTTCTTTGGTGATTCGTTGTTTCAGTACATGGCATTAGGCCAATGAGCAAAGTTTTCCCACAATTTTTTTTTCAATTAGCAACCCGTGGGTTCACAATTTTAACAGAAACCCTTAAACTGAACCGTGTCTTCCTGAAATGACATCACAGCAACAACTCCCTCATTTGCCAAGAAAAGCCAGGAATGTTTAAAAAGTTTTTAAAAAGTGCGCCTTTCAAACAGATTAACCCAAAAGAGGATGTCAAATAGTTTTCATACAATTAAGAGGAGTTGAAAATTGCACAAAGTATGAGCCTAGGTAAAATTTATGTCATGGCCTTTTAAGCTTCTTTTAAAACTTTTTTGAATTTTTTTTACTTGCACAGTGTAGTAGTGTACATCATCGGTTGTGATAACACAGCTTATGGATTTCCATTATATGTGTCAGTTAAATAATGTACTTTCTGCCCGTTTTTAAGTTGGTAAATGTTTTGTAAAAGTTGAGATTCCAATGAAGCTGCCTCAGCCCCTCATCATTTACCTCATTGGTATTGAGTGTTTATTAATTATTGTTTAATGACCAGTAAAATTGTTTATGGACTATGGAGACCTGGTACTGTCTTGCCCCACATAATGCAACATGCCGGGGTAGGGAGGGGGAGGGGGAGGGGGGGGGGACTAGATGGGAAATTGAATTGCGTCATGCTAGTTAAGCCACAGCCTTTCAGAAAGAGAGAAAAGAGGAGAATGGAGAAAAGAAAAAAAAAATAGAGAACTGTACGGACAAAGATAAGAACACGGTATCTCCACGCTAAAGGTTAACTTGTCATTCTCAGTATCAGCCTTGCAGAATACATGACAAGCGAGAAGGTTGCGGAGCCTTGGGGCAAACTGCCATAAAGTTAACCCTGTGTTCCCTACCCAACTTTCTATAATCACCCCCCCCCCCCCAGTACTCCACCAGATAGGGCCCACAAATAATGAAGCCTCATTACCCTGTTCCCTATTAGAACTCTACTAGTTTATCAGCAACATTTTTTAGTTATCAAGAATCAAATTGAAAGTGAATTGTCAAGAGCAGTTTGCATAATTGCCCCACCAAACATAAAGACCCTGTTTGTTTTTTTCTTCGAAACTTGTGATGTAGGCCAAGTTTTTGTTTTTTTTGAGGGGGGGGGGTGGGGTTTCTCTTTCTTCCTTTATCAGCTTCGCCAGGCTGTTTTTCTCCAGACCAGGAAAAACATGAGAAAGAATGGCATGGATACGAGATACGAGGGTCGGTATCAGTTGGTTTGATGGCCCCAAACCACAGCAAACTGATAAGGAAGAAATGCAGGGCATCAATTTTTCGGTGTCACTGACATTGGAGCGAATGGGCCAGCGCTTTCCTCGACATTATCCATACGTAGTATTTGACAAAGCCAAACACATATATTGCATCATGAGTTGGGGAAAATCTTCATCAGATCTTTTGTTTAGTCTGGAGGCCGACTAAAGAATGCAGGTTTTGTTTTTTGGAGAATGCCAAATGAACAAAAACTAGAACATGAGTTTGCTATATTTTGTAATGAGCACCCGAGTACATATTTGTACTAAACACTGCCAAATGAAGTGGGACAGAGTTCGCAATCCAGGTTGATTTCAAATATTTTGTTTCCCTCTTGTCAAGGCTGGTTTAAGTTTTGCCACAGTATTACTTCATGTAATTCAAGAAAAGTAGATGTTCAAGACAAGAGCGATAAAAGCACGGAGGTCTTATTTGATGTCACAATGTAGGCCAAGTTTCAACATGAAGTTAGTTAAAGTGTCCATGAGATTAACTTTTCTTAGGAACACATTTTGTGTAACTTTCTACTCCTCTGAAATGTAGAAAAACTATTGGACAATTCCTTTTTCTTAAGCTAAATTTGATTGAAAAGTGCATTTCTTTAGACATTAAAAGTGTCCATGCTTTTCCAAACAACTGAGGGCGTTGTTGCTGTGATGTCATTTCAGGAAGACACTGTTCATGTTTAGGGGTTTTCTGTTCAAATTGTGAACCCAAAAAATGTGTTCATTGAAAACATTTGTGAGAGAAGTTTGCTTATTGGCTTACTGCCATGTACTGACAACAACAACAAATCACCAGTTCAGTTTTTGGTTTGGACAAAAAATGACCAGAAAAATGTTCGTTAGCCGACATTGATTTCACCTTTAACAGTGGATAACGTTTGAAGTAAACCTCCTTTGCCTTTTTTTTTTTCATTTTGCAGGGAACGTCTTTGGTTTCAAAATTCAATGATGTCGGTCATCAAAAGAGAAGCACAGAGTAGGGACTCTACCCCGCCTCTGCCTCCTCAAGAAACTGCCACGCCCACGTCTGAGGAGTCCCCGCCCCCGGCCCCATCCCAGGCCCCGCCCCGTCGTGAGGTTCCGGTTCCGTCCTTCGTCCAGCTCCCCGACGGCGGTCTGTTTGCAGAGAGCGGCGTCCCAGCCGGTACCATCTTTGGACCGTACAAGGGCAGCATCCGAAAGGCTCCCCTGAGACGGAGCGAAGATGGAGAGCAGACAGCTGAACCAATAGGTTTAAAAGTAAGAAGCAGTCTTGATTTCGGGTTTTGTCTAGACTCAAAGGGCAAGCCTATTGTCCTCCGACTGACCGACTGATCGACTGACTGACTCCCCAAATCAGTCACTGAGTCAGGTTGGTGCAGTGGTTCTTGCCTCACCTTCCATCGCTATGGCCCGGGTTCGATTCCTGCCCTGGTCCACATGTGGATTGGGTTTTCAGTCCCTACCTGATTCTGTGGGTCTGCCCCAGAATATCCTTCTGGGCTTTTCCTCCCACCTCTGAAACTACTTGTAATTTCTTCTCACTGTTTCTGCAGACTTGCGAGCTACAGTCCCTAGGGCGTTTCAAATGAGGAATCCTTGGTTTCATTACCAGAAAGAAATAATAATAAAATAATGCCCTAATTAAATGGAGGTTTTTGATTCAAACTTTTGTTTTGCTGCAAACAGCAGGATTTAATCGGGGGAACTGAGACATTGTCCAATCTCTGGAATTGACCTGACCTTGTCCTTTACACATGCGCTGCTGTAATTAAACCATATAAGCTATTTCTCGTTTCCGCCATAAAAGTTTATGGTGAGAGGGTTTTGGTACTACCGGTAGTAGGTACTCAGCTCAGTTCTGTACTTGTGACCAAAAATGCCAGAAGTTGGTGACCAAAATGCCAGGAGCGTTCAGAGGTTAAACGCTCATAGTGGCAACAGACAGTTGGTGTGCTGCTGAGACATCAAAAATTGAAAAGTTGTTCAAATCCTATTCACAAGGTCATGCAGGGAGCTTTAAAAAAGATACACGTTTACATAGGTAGGTCATATGATATTTGCACAGATTTAAGAAACTGGGTAGAAAAGTCATGATATCTGCATGATTATGGAAATGCTCTCGGCACGTAGCATTGTATCCTGAGAAAGATAGTCACAACAGGGTTCAGATAACCCTGTGTGTTGTTTCTAATAAAAAAAGAAAGGAAAAAAAAGACACTTCCCCTTATCAATTACGAACAGAAATTCACAGTGTTCCTGAACCTACGGTCGTTCACATTCAACTTGGCCAATATCACATGTACCCCTTGAGTAAAAAAAACAGGTTGCTTCCCCCCCACCCCCCCCCCCCAACTGTTCCATGTCGTACCACTACTTTAGAAGCCAGAATAAAAATACACGTTCATGGGCAGCAGAGGAATTTTACCACGGATCATGTAACTGTAATCCAATCGATCAGAACGGGAAGGAGAAATTAGCAATGTGTATCTGGAACTCATGTCCTCTGTCACAGTTGGAAGGTTTCAATTACCTCCAGAGCCAGTTGTTGGTTTGGGATAACGATCGTTGGGAACCTTTGACCTAAGTTCAGATTTTACTTTTTGGTTTTTTTTTTTAGTTTTTCCATCTCCCCCCCCCCCAAAAGCCGCTTTTCTTAAGTTGTTGATTAGGAATTTAGGGCATGCAGCCCCTTCCAAATTGGTTTCTTCCAATCCGACAGAGGGACCACAACACCACACAGGAACTTGGCATAATTTGGACAGCTATTTACTTATTAGGAACTCAAGTGTGGACCACTTACATTTTTTTTTTAATTTCAATAGTTCTAGTTCATTTTTAAAAAAAAAAGTTTATTGTCACTAATATTACTCCTAATTAAGATTGTACAATGTAATAAGTGATATTACATGCACATGAATCGGGTGGTTGTTTTTGGCCAAAAAAAATTAAATATTTCGGAGGGCTCAAACAGTTTTAGAAAGAAACTTGTTTACATGTGTAGGGCTTTATCAGAACCTTTCATGGACATTTAAGAAATAGGGTTTTTTTTTGGGGGGGGGGGGGATGTGAAGGGGAATGATTGTTATACAAAGTTAAGTTGGGGGTACACCATACACCATGGAATGAATCACCCCTGTGTGGTTCTTGTACAATTCCACCCTTACAATGGTTTTTATAATTGACTAAATATACCATTTCAAAGGGGAAATTTGTAAACATACTTTTTGAGCGATAGTGCCAAAAGGTGCAAGAAAACCCAATGCCTGACATTGCAGTATCAGGGGCGGATCCCGGTTGGGATCAAGAAGGGGGAGGGGGTTGAAGAGGCATATATGCTGTGTTTTTCTGCAAGATTTTCCTATTTTTTTTTTGCAGCTCAAGAAGAGGTTTTAAATTTAACTCCCTATCCCTCCTGTTGATCCACCCCTACCGGTACATTTCCTCACTGTGTGTTTTACCAGGGTCACATGCAATTCCAATTTTGACCAAACACTGATTATATTCAAGTATTCCTTTTCTGGTTTTTTTTCCCCTCCTCCCTCAATGCCACGAAGACTATAGTTACACAAGGGAAGCGGCTCATTATCTCTTATCTCAAGGCAATAGCCCGGCTTATCTCGGCCGAGCTTTCACTATCGCTGTTCTAGTGAAGGACTTTTTAAAGTAAATTTATGCATATGCACTTTCACAGATAAAGGTGACTGGCTAAACAAATGGCCTTATCTGCAAACAGCTCCTGTTCCATTTTCTGTTTCTGGAGATTTACATGTTTTTGTTTTATCTGGAAAATGTATTGTGTGGTGCACGCACATATACGTTCAATAGTTGTATCACTGCTAGAGACACTGTGTTTCATAATCCGCCAAAAATCCAAAAAGAAAACAAAGTAAAAAAGGTCTATGTGTAATCTAACAGAAAATATTTAAAACAGCAAATCTCATCCTTAGTACTTGTTTTTTTTGTTTGAAATACCCTACAGGGTGGTCCAAACGTTATTTTTTTGACAATTTTTCAAACACAGGTAACTCAAAATGGTTACACCTCTCTATTCCGACACCCCTGTGTTCCGAAACCCCTATGTTCAGACTGCACATATTCCTATTCCTAACTCTAACCCTAACCCTAACCGGGAGTAACACAATCTTATGTGAAGGTTGTCGGAACATAGGGGTGTCGGAACATAGAGCAGTCACCTCTCAAAATAGGGGAGACTTGTTGAAATTGTGTTACGATATTTCAAAAGTACAAGATCTTGGTGGTATATGGTGAAAACGGCGTTGAAAATAAAGCCTAAATTAAGAAATGGCGGCAATTTACAGAAAAATGGTCAAAAACTAGCTGTCCACACGCAAGTTTATGAGATATACATGTACGCTGATGGACAATCTTACTGTTGGGGAGGCACTTGTGCGCGGAGCTCATACTGTCTGTCTGGGCATTGCAGTCCTAAATCCACTAGAGCACAGCAAAATAAAAGCCTTGTTGACAGATTTTGATACATTAGAGGGAGTTTGGTCTTCACAATTAAAGGGTGCATGAGATGAATTTCCTTAAGAACATGTTTCGTGCAACTTTCTACTCTAGTCTCTTAGGCCTAAATTGACTTCCCTTTTTAATTAATGTTATTGAAAAAATGCACTTCTTTAAATGTTTAACATTTCCATTCCCCCCCCCCCCCCCCCCCCCCCCCCCCCCCCCCCCCCCCCCCCCCCGCCAACTGCTCAGTTTAGGGGTTTTCTGTTCAAATTGTGAACCCAAAAATTTGCTCACTGAAAACATTTGTGAAAAAAAATTTGCTCATTGGCTTACTGCCGTGTACTGACACAACAACAAATCGCCAAAGAAAAGAAACTTGACGACAGCAAAATATCCATAATTCTGGCAACTTTTGGTGCTGAAATACCTGTAACAATGAGGTTTCTGCCTGAAACGACATCATGCCTTTGCTCATGAATAAGGAAATTTGCAGTACCGTTAACACCCCAAACAGGCACCAAAGTACCCTTGAAAATGGCAAAACGAAAATTGAAAAATGGGACACAATGGTGCATTTTCAAGGATTGCATTTTAAAAGTCATACATGTAAGTATCTACATTGTATACCCACATGTTGCATTTTAGAATTTACTTAAAAAGCGATTCCTAAAGGCGTGATCTTTGTACACACAATTCACATTTATGTACATTACTCAGTGGATAACTTCACTGTTTTTTGGAGTCACCCAGAAATTGTGATTTCTCCTTTTATAACCATTTTGTTTTATAAAGCAGATTTTAGTGTGCAGCTATTGCATTTATTTGCTGGTTGAGATCATTATCGTTTTGTTTTGTTTTGGAATTACAGCTAACGTACTTCTTCTTGGTCTCTTTTGGTCTCTTTTGTGCCCGTTACACCATCAAATAATAAAGAATATGCAAAGATTTATTGTGAATTAAAAAAAAGTACCTTAACATCAAGATTTTTAATTTTGAGATCTCCTTGAGAAAACCTTAGATTAAAGTTGTTGAAAAGACATTTAGTTTTACCAAGTTTCCTTCTTTTTTTTTCTTTTTTTTTTGTAGTTTTGTGACCCTGCTGGCCAGGCATATACCGTTGAGGTTGACAGGATGGAATGTGAGCAGCCATGGTGGGCCTGCATCAAACACGCCGCAGAACATCACCAGGCCAACATTACACTCTTCTCTCACAGTAAGTCCAAATACAAACTTTCTTTTGTGATGTAAAACTCACTTCACATTTTAATTCACATGAAGTATGGCTAGCCCTTACATTAGGCCAAAAAAAAAAGTCTCCGGTTTCTGGTATGGAGCTTGCCCAAAAAGTGGTGCGGCGACGCGGCTTGCTTTTTTTTTTTTTACCTGATTTTTTTTGCTTCAAATGTCAGCTGATGACTGCAAATGGTGCCCGACTAAACTTACATGTAGTGCAAATATATGGGAGTCCCTGAGAGAGGCCACATAAAGCTTATTCTCGACCAATGATAACCCAATCTAAAAACGCGTTAAAATTGTGCAGCAGCAGGATTCCAGTCAGACCAGTGAGTTTGGCGGTTTTGAGACATCAAAACATGGTGGTTTTATACTTATTAACTTTTCATAAACTGAAGTTTTCGACTTACATTTATGTAAATTTTTAAGTGTCTAAATATATGTATATTGTTTTTATGTGCACATTGGGAAGAAGAATTTCACTTTTAAAGTCTTTTAATTGTGATGAAATAAAATATTGTATTGTATCATCTTTCATTGAAAAAAAAACTTTTTCATACGGCGACACGAGCGCATACCAGAAACCGGAGACTTTTTTTTTTGGTCTTATTGCCATCCTTGAAACAAAGACTGGCCTCCAAATATGAGACTGCATCTGTGGCTATGGATTTGATGGGTTTTTTCAATCGGTTCCCTATAGAAGATAGTCATAGCCACAGACATCAGTGCTGCTTTTGATAATGCCAGACACACACCTAATGCCGAGGCTGCCCCCCCCCTTTTTTTTAACTGAACTGTCTTTGCATGCAATTGTGTATTTTGGGCTCTCCTAAAATGCTGAAAGACTAAAGATATTTATGTGTTTAAAGTGTATGTGAAAATCTTTTGCAGACAGGGTTAAATCCTAGAAAGGGAGACAATGTTTCACAGCTGAATATCTGTCATGTACATGTGTATATTTAGACATTTTGGAATATTGCTGTTGCTGTAAATATGATTTCTTATCTCTGGGCACCAATTACCAAGACAGGTGTACTGATGACCGTCAAATATGCAGACTATGTTCATTTCATTGGACACTTAATTAAGAAAAAGTATTTTGGTCGGTATTTCCTTGGCCCGCTTCTAAATAAGGGCAAAAAAACTTTCAAGTATTTTTGTGAATTGATAAGAGCATGAAATGAGTGGCAGTTTATGTCACAGAGGAAAAACAGCAGAGAAGTGAATGAACATCATTTAAAAACAGACTGAATTTTTTCCTGAAAGTAATGTTTTAAAGGGAAAATACAACATTTGCAAACATCGAAAAATAAAACTAATCTGATGCTAATCCCGCGTGTCTTTTGTACACACACACACGAAGTCCGTGAAGTCTGTGGAGGTGGACCGTGTAATGATCTTGAATTGGCCGCTGCGCACGGCCTATTGTTCTACAATTTATCCTCCGTTGCACACCCCAGAGTGTTGAAAAATATGAGGTTTCGGCAAGCAATATCGTACAAATACTGTTGAAAATGACTCTTGCCAATCAGTATTTGTGGCTGTATATCAGAATTTGGCTGTTATATTTTGCCTTTTTCGAAAAATCGAAATTTGCGGCAAAAATAATCCTGGCGCGAACTGGTTAAAAGTACAAGTAGAATACAAAATTCAAAGTCAAGGTAAAGAAGATGGAAATGTTGAGAAAGCTCCATTTAAAATCAAAAGAACTCAAGAAATATTTTTTAATCCTTGGGCAATGCAACAAAAGTTTCAGACTGTAGCTTGTTCACCAACACTTTAAATTCCAATTCAATTGGATTGGGATTGGAGTTGGGTCTGAAATACACTTTGAGTACATAAACTGAACAAACAAAAGTTTGAACATGAGGGCTAGTTTGTTGGGGTGTCATATGAACTTATTATTATTATCATTCATTTCTTGTAATGAAACCAAGGATTCCTTAAAAGCACCCTATGCACAGTAGCTTGTAAGCCTGAAGAAACCCGTACAGAGAAGACAATTAAAAATTACAATTTTTCGATGTGGGAGCCGGGAGCACCTCAGAGGAATATTCTGGGGGAAAACCCATGGCATCAGGTAGGGACTGAAAACCCAATCCACATGTGGGCAGGACAGGAATCGAACCCGGGCCATAGAGGTGGAAGGCCAGGAAAGAACTATTCTAGGCAAACAAAATGATTTGTCATTAGTTTTTCAGAAATGTGCTAATTTGCTATTTATTATCCAACGTCTTTCTTTTTATGTAGATGGGGTGTTGTATCTGAGAACTCTGGAGCAAATTCCCGAGGGAAAGGAACTTGTAATGGACTTAACCACGCCCAAAGATCAGGGAGACACATCAGAGGGTGACAGCACTGATGTCACCAACCACTCCCCAAACACTGCTCACAGGCCACACCCTGCCGCCAACTTAGTGATAGAAGGTAAGATATATCTGCTGCCCTCTAGTGGCAAAGTCTTGGTTGCTGACTGGATGTGAATTTTGTTCATCTCCCAATCCCTAGAAAGCGCAGTCAAGCCACCATGCGTGCGATGGAGGGCGCTATCAACAATATACATGAATCATATCCAGTCTTGGGAAGTCTGACACTCGGGACCAAGATATTCCGAGCATACCGGTACCTCGTGCAGCCGCATTAGCTTGAATACAGCTCACTTGAGGTATGCTCATAGTTTCTCAGATCGGACTGTAAAATTCCCATAACAGCTGCGACAGATTGCCAGGGATCGCAACGAGTTGCATAATTAGCTCTCCTATGAAAACATACATTCTGTGCAAAGTTGTTCTTTCAGTCAATATAAATCAAGTGACTGTTAATTGTTAAACAGTAGAGAGCTCCCAGCAAACATGTACATAAAGCAGAATTGACTGGCTGTGACTGTTTATGTAACTTGATGCAGCTGTGCTTTGACTGTAGGTGATTGATAAGCCTGCTGTGCTTACATGTACCACTTGCCTGCTTTTGTCTGTTGACTGAATTTGACTAGTCGCAGTGCTTGCTTGGAATATGATCTGACTGTTGGTGACTAGCCTGTGTAAAAGGCATGGCAGGGGAAGAGGATTGATATTTCTAACTGTCTGTGACTGTTCAGACAGCAGGAGGGTGAGGGGAACAAAATCCAATTCAATTTTGGACCGAGACTATCGGTACTTGTGGCACAGCTTTTATGGTCAAACTTTATATTGCTGCATGAACCTGAGCCTGAAGTATTTGATGTGTTAAAAAATTAAACAATCTGTCCTACTGTTCTAAGTCTACAGTTCGAAATCGGTCTTCCTTAGAAAACGGAAGGTATAATTATGAGCCATGCAGTAGTTGATTGTATTACCATACAAAATACAGTAAACTCCTGTTAAGTCGAATGTCAAGGGAATGGATACAAAATTCCAGGTATTGGAGTTCGAGTTGAACAAGGTTCCCAATTTTTGTCATGTACATGTATATATATACATAAATGGCGTTTTCCATTACTCGCTATGCTTCTTTGTGACTGTTTTTGGCAGCGTTTTCTATGCAGTTGCCGAAAAAAATTCGAGTTAAACAGAGGTACCAGTACGGGCATTCTGAGTTATGGCACATAAAATCCTAATCTCTTGACGGGAATGGAGTATTACTTTGAGATAAACAGAGTTTCGAGTCTAACTTTGTCTGTAATTTTTTTTTTTTGCAGGTCCTCCATTCAAATGCAACTTCTGCTGCATCGAGTTCCGCAATCCTGGCAACCTAGATGCACACCGGGTCTACTACTGTCCAGGCACAGCCACTAAACTACTGCCCTGTTCAAGACGTCGATTGATAGCCCCAACTACGCAGGCTGAGGCAGCACCAGACACTTCGGTCGTGAAGACCACTCCCCTTCGGACAACGAAAACTCCAGACGTGCCTGTTGTGAAGAAGATCATTACCGTAGAGACCCCAAAGACCTTCGTCTGCCAGTTGTGCCAGTCCTCGTTTGAGAGCCGAAGCAACTGTGAGAGCCACATGCTTCTTCTGCACTGCGACGAGTCAGCGAACCTCTGTAAATTCTGCAACTTCATCAGTGGGGACCGGAAGGGCCTTTGCCAGCACGTCTTCTCCCACGTGAAAGGGACGAGGCAGGAAACGACTGCCACTTTGCCAGGAGAGAACAGTGATCCAGGTCTGGATTCCACCTCGAAAACAGTCAATGAAGTTATGGTTGACGAAGGTGATGAAAAAGAGAACAGATATACCCGTAAATTTCAGACCAACGGCACGCAACCTGCATCATCCCCAGGAGCAGGACACATCCCCGGAAGTCCCCGCAGTCAGGAGGACAAGTTCATCTCTAAACTCCCCTCTCCTGAAATGACGGCACCTCTGTCCAGAGAAGAGATACGCAGCCCTGCCAAGCTGATCAAAACAGAAAGTCCAAACGGCATCAACGTGCACAGTGTCGCTGTGGGATTGAATCGGGAACCGGCCCAGGACGACATACTGACTTGTGCCCAGTGTGATTTTGCCACGTCGAGGGAGTCGGTTCTCCTGAAGCACGTGACGCACCACAACCACCTCCAACGGAAAACACATGACGGGAGCGCAGACGCCCAAGTCCCCAAAATGGACACGCCTGATCATTTAGACACGACTTGCCACCAGTGCAACATCGTCTTCATGTCCAAGAAGAACTACGCAGCCCACAAGCAGTACTACTGTGCGAGTAGACATGCTGACAGCACCAGTCCCCCTGCCGTACCAGAGTGGGATGACAAAACGGGAAAGGCGTCAACCCAAGGGAACAACAACAACACCAGAGTTGTCACACTGGACAAAAAGGACGGGAGCATAACAAGGAAAACTCTTAATGGCTCCGATAGACACAGAGAGCCTTGCCCTTTAAAAGTTGTATCCCCACGTTGCTCCCCATATGTTATCAGTAGAACCTCAGTTGACAGTAGTCCTAGAAATGGCACCCAACATAGTACCTCCCATTCAAGTGAAACTTCACCAGCCCCCTTGGCATCGCCAAACTCACGATCCAGTCCAGACAAGCCGGGGTTTGACCGACCTTTGCATATGATACGCCTCGACGGTAAACCCCAGTTTCTGCCGCCAGGTGCCGTACTGCCAGGGCAGCAGCTGGTCCTGGTCACCCCGATAGTCATTCCACAGGGCTTGGGTACTGCTACCAAGCTGGCCAGCAACTTGAAGATACCCGTCGTCAGGCCCAGCCGGACCGAGCAACCACTGGACCTCAGCACCAAGCCCAAAACTCCCCCGCTGTCGGATTCCTCCGACACCGGCGGCCACAAATCGACTGTGATCACATCGGAGCTGTTGTCTCAAACCACCAGTACCCAACTGCGTGAGCGGCAGTCTAACCGCTGTGAGGAATGCGAGATCTCATTCAGCAAGAAGGAGAGTCTACTAGTCCACAAGCAGTTCTACTGTGCCAGTCGCCACATGTACTCACCTCGTTCCCTGGTGAGAACTAAGCCGTACGACACATCCAAACTGCAAACATTTTCAAACAGTCAACCACAGAGCAAAAGCCCCAGCCCCGTCCACCTTGCCAAACAATCACCAAATTCAAACCACGGAGCTGGTTACATTGAAACCAGAAATTCACAAACAAAGGCAAACATCTCTGCTCATGTAAGTAGCTCCCCAGCATTCTCTAGTAGCAGCACGGGAGGAAGTAATGACATCACAAGCTCACCAAATACCAACCCCACCGTCAGCACAACTGCCAGCATGATTCTTCTCAACGGGAACTCTACGCACGAACGGACCGACTCGGCCAAGGTGCACAATCCAAGCCCATCATGGTGCAGAACTCAAACACCGAAACGCTCGGCGTCAGCGCAAAGCATCGAATGGGACAGAGAGCGATGCTTGCCACCGATCAAAAGAAAGAAAAATCTGATACCACAGCCAGATGAAGACTTCAGGCGGCTAACAACCGCAACTACAAACAATGGCAGCTTAATGACAAACGGTGTCATCATCAAGCAAGAGCCCAAAAGCACAGACTGTGTCACAGCCTCAGAGGGATGCTCAAATGGCAAATCAAAGACAGTGGCAAACTCGGAGCCAACGCAGCAGCATTCTCGGAACGTGTCGAGGACGTCCACACCCTCACCAGTGCCACACAAAACTACGCAAACCATAATCCAAAAAGCGATCATGGTCAAACAGGAGCCACTAGGAGACATCCCAACCTCCAATGGATATTCCAGAGAATCGCAGGACACCATCCTCAAATCCTACCCGTCATCCGCATCTCTCCACCACCAACAGTCCACAAGTCGTACCGCTGACAGTCCAGACCTTTCCCCACGGCCACCCCACATCAGGCACCCCATCACCACACCGACCCCGCTCACCATCCCCATCTTCAGGCATTCCTCCCCCCGGCTAGCCACGCCTTCCAGGCACATGACTGTCAGTTCCTACCTGAATACAGGAACCTCAAGGCCCCTGCTCAGGGGTGTCAAGCCCACGGTCAAACACTGCCGCAACTGTAACATCTCCTTCAGCAGTCTGTCAACGTTCATAGCTCACAAGAAGTACTACTGTGCCTCGCACCATCAGACAAAGAACGCAGCCACATAGCCATATCCCCATGACAAACAACTGGTATTTGACATTCACGAATCAGCGTGCTTTAATTTAAAATTAGCTATCTGACAATCCATCTCCAAAGAGAAAAATAAATCTGTATTAAACATTAGCTCGTCATCAATGTATTGCTTTCACTGGAACTTGACTTTCATCAGTCAGTGTATTGACATTTCGAAGGTCAAAAGATGCCAGCCATGAATGAATAACTGATGAATGAAAAGTTTTTTCGGCAGAGTCAGAAGAGAGGAGTTCATGCTCGTAAAAAAAAAAGCCATCCTTCTCAGAAGTTCTCAGAGAACTAAATAAGAATGATTTACACAACGCCTGAATAAATCCCTGTCATCTGATTGGTGGATTGTTGATATGTCATTGAATTATTCGTCCCAACCCACGGCCCAGCCGCACAGCAAAAATCAAGGTTTCTATTCTACGGTAAATAGAGTTTCCATTGCATGGTCACACTTTGACCAATCAGATGACAAGGATTTATTCAGGCGTTAGGTAAAAAAAACTAGTGAATGTTTCACATTCGAGCAGTGAAAAGATTTCCATTCGGTAAAAGGTGGAATGGAACATTGCATCTGCAACCTCATGATGTTATTCTTACCACTGCACACACGAACATTCATTATTTGCATAACACATGATTTTTCTTTCATACTGGAAATGTTTTGCATCAGCATGTGCCACGATAAGCAGCAGGCTGGTAATGACATTCAGAATAATGATTCTAGAATTGAAACTTTTAACCTGCTTCCTGAGCCCCGAGGCCAATGTCGTGGAGCTGCTAAGAAACCTGCTAAGCATAGAAGATATTTGCTAAGACTGTAATGGGTTACCATTCAAACTGTATAACAGTGTATATGGCCCATGAATGGTTCTCTGCAGATTCATGCTAAGCACCTAAAAACTGCTTGATATTTTTCGCGACTCCAAGAAATAAGGCTGAGTAAGAAAATAAACTAGTTTCTTGTCCCTGCCTGGTTTCTTGTTTCCCGACCGCCTCTTTAATTTTTTTTGAAATTTTTAATATTCATACATTTGCGATATATTTTGCACATTTATAATTAAGTTGGGAGGCTAATCATCCTTACTCGCAGCTGAGAAACTGAATTGCGAAGGACGCAGCTAAAACGTGGTCGAACCAAAGGCATGTAAAGGCGCCCACAGCAGCAGCCAGCCACATTGACCCATGTATGACCACGGAGCACAGCCAGAGATCAAAAGTGTTTGTTTTTTCTGAAGGGAGGAAAACCTAGGGCCCGGAGAAAAACCCTCGTGGCACGGGAGAGAACCAACGCACATCTCTACTCACATATGGTCTGCAGCCTGGAATCGAACCCGTGCCACAGTATATATTGTCAGTACAACTCAGGCCAAGTTCGCGCAAGGACTATAGTTGACCAATGGTTAACTAACGTTTGCCCGAACTCTGTCTAGTCGACGGTGGTTGACTACGCTAGTCGACTATTTGGAACCAGCCTACTGGGGTTGGTTGCTTCGCTGGTAACCAATAGCCGCGCGCATTCATAACGCTAGCAGAGAGCCAGGATCCAGAAGTTTTGCGATGACATTTTGACCAGCGTTTGACTAGAGACGTTCGCACATTGCTATCAGTGCGCAGGCGTAAGGTACGTCACAAATCAACCGCTAGTCGACTAATGGCCTTGCCCGAACTTGGCCAAAACTGTGGCTGTGTAGAAAAGGTCATGGCCCCTTTGGACACAATTGTGTATCAGCAAAATATTTGAGAAAATTGAAGATTTTTTTTGGGGGGGGGGGGGGAGAAAAGAAGTACCCGCTTCCTTAATTTTTATTCTCAAAAAGGCTGGACGAGAAACCATGTATTTTTTTTTTTACTTGGCCTCAGGCTTTGACTAGTTTTCTGTATCCATTATTTATACACTTAAAAGTGAGCGGTGTACCATCCATGTCAAGTTGAGAAAAATTAGCCTGTCTTTCCATTTTAATCACCTTTGTTAATAATCCAAATAATATATAATTTATTTACTTACGATTAATTTTATATGTATAAAGAAAACTTGGAGTGAATGTAAATTCCATGTTATGCATTTTGGGATTGAAGTTCATTTTTCCATGAATAAAGAGGTTTGTGGGAGTCCAGTATTAACCACACGTACGAAGTGTGATTCATTGAACGGATATAACCGGTAGGGGTCTTGAAAGAACAATAATTCTAAAGCCTAGTTTTCATATCGACGTCAGGAACGCAAAGTGAAACGCAAACGGGACCCAAACTGCAATGCAGACAATGGAAACATTTCATCTGGAAGTGTCACCGACAACTCAGACAGATGCAAACTACCTCACAGATGATGGTTCTTTGCTACTGTGGCCTTAAGCCTTGTTTCCATATCGACGTAAGAAACGCAAAGTGAAACGCAAACGAGACCCAAACTTCAACACAGACAATGGAAACATGTTATCCTGAAGTGTCGCCGACAACTCGGACAGACGCAAACTACCTCGCAGATGATCCGCGGCAAAGTTGAACCCAGTTCAACTTTGCCGACGGTTTCGCGTAGTCTCTCTGCAGTCTGTGTAATCTTAATGGCGATATGGAAACCAGGCTTAACTTCCCGTTACTTCAGATGCTGTAAAGCTACCAGAGCGTGCATATTTCAAATATTTTTTTTAAGAACAATTTTCTTTTGTTTTGAATACAGTACATGCAAGATATGACCCCCAAAATGGAAGGTTTCATTCATTGGTGCCGAAGAAAATATACACCCTTATTAGATTACATTTTGATATTGATATATATCCCTGCCTGCAATAGAAGAAAGGCTGTCAAGATGTGTAGACCTGTCTCATCTCTTATAAAAATTCAATTGTCTTAACCAGTTCACATCGGATGACCTGTATGCACGCAAAGGTTTTGCAGTATTCGGAATGGATAAAGGATAAACACGCAACGAGTGAGGCCAGAAATATCTGTCTGCGACCCACTCACAGCCGGGGATATCAGGGTGTGCTACCCGCAGATGACAGCCTGAACCCGTCCGGCATCAAGGTTTGTGAAAACAATCCCGCGCCTGGGTCCGGTCAATGACAAAATAATCCCAGTGCGAATTGGTATATCAGTGGAAATATATCAGACCTGCAAGTTTTCATTCCCCCCCCCCCCTGCTATACAGCTGCTGATAAAACATTCCCCGCAATTTATTGTATAATTTACATGAAACCCCCCCCCCCCTGGCATTTTCATGGACACTTTGGGGGGGGGGGGGGGGGGGGAATGGAGGGGGTCCCGAACACGCCACCCCCACCTGATTTCTTATAGTTAAAAGGGGGGAAAATGGAAGCTTCCTACATACACGTAACATGCAATAAACAGTGCTCTCAAAAATTAAGGCCAATTTTAAAATCCTATAAAACTAATTTATTAAGGGTGACTTGTCCTTTTTTTGGTGGTTCCTTCTAGCATGGTTTAACAAAATTGGCCAAAATGTTTTGGCAAGGTACAAAATTGATTGTGTAACATAATTGATTAAGTGAGTGGGATGGACTCAAGTTCTGGTGTGCACAAGTTCTATGCAAAAGTGAAAAGATAGAGCGATGGAAAGACCTTGACGTTGCCAATTTCTTTCATACTACTATTAACACTCGTGATTCCCGTGAAGACAATAACAATAGACCTATCTTCTAAGACCCGCCCATGATGTGTTGACCAATCACAGCCATGATAACTGTCCAACATGCGTGCACAAGTGTCCGACATGCGTGCACAGGCATGTGATACGTGTGTCTGGTACATACAGTTGGTGTTGGACAGGCACATGTGTAGTGTGCCCATGGGTAGTGGTTTGATTTAAAGCCGGATTTTTTTACATTTGGTTTGAATTCCACTTAACAAAATTAAGCCTTCCATTTTTTTGTGACACAGGCAGTCAGGCTAAAGAAAACAACTGGCACATCACGCATTATGAATAACCTGACCATTTGACTTAATACCAGAGAGCTCCCATCTATTTTTTCCCCAACAATACAGCTCTGGAGTGTTTTTTTGTAAAGGCCCAGTGGTCACTGAATCCTGCAAACTATACCCAGTCACCGTGAGGGCATTTCATGTGGCACCCCACTCGTCACTTTTTGTTGGCATGACTGTGAGCTGGATGGCAACTTCTGGTGAAATCGGATAACCGTTATTTGGATTGAAAACATGGATTTCTCCAACCACTATCCTTGTGCGCACAGTGAGTGTAGCCTGATGGAATTTATATTGAGATGCAAACTGATCATGCTGAACCATATAAAGCACCGTATGAATGCACAGTGTCCTTCACACAATAGCTCCTGTGGGTGGCCCAGCCACAACATGTCATCCATCGAGTCCATACCATAGAGCTATATTAAATTACGAGAGCGTTGACTCGATGTACAAAGTGATGCCTGCTGGGCCAACCATGTTTGTGCACAAACCTATGGAAAGCTCAAAATTTTATACGGCTTTTGAACAGCTATTTGCATACTGATAGCTGCGTTTGTATTCTATACAGGTACGTTTTCGAAGCCGATACGCTCAAAACCAAAACACACAATCAGTAAATGAGCGTTTCATTTTGCTTTGCCCAAACAACGCAAACACGTGCGTGGATCTGCAGCAGATGATGTCGCTGTGACGTTTTTAACCATCATGATGTGCTCAAGTTGTTTGCGTACGAGCGTTGCATTTAGAGTACATTTTCAAAATTCACTTTATCCTGCATTATGTTCTACAAACACGCACATTAATTCAAAATGTCTGCGCACAGGATGGCTTCAAAGTATCTCCACATGTAAGAATGAGGAGTTAGCGCTCTAGTAATTTAATACAGCTCTATGGTCCATGCCAAGTTTCATGGAGCCAATAAGCACAGAAATTTGTTAAACACAGAAAATATTTCCGTAGCAAGAACAGGTTACCAGGCAAAATTTAATGGGGTGTACATTGTGATCTGTACTCGGCTGATTTTTGCTTATTAAATTAATCTGCACTTTCTACTTTTCTAAATCCATAAAATTAGGCAAAGATAGTTTTGGTGTCCATAATCAGGCCTCTACAATAGCCCAACTACAGGTCAGACTGCTTGTCTATCCAAACATCAGTCTTTTTGTTGTTCATCCGAGAGCTCAGCCATGGCTTTCTTCATGTCCTCCGCCGTCAGGTTGTCCGGCAGCTTGTCGTAACCCATGAGGTGACTGTAGTGATTGGGATGGACGAACGCCCGAGGATCAATCAGCAACGGCTTGCCTTTCACAACGATTGAGGTCATCAGGTTACGCACGGCCGGGGTCTCCACGTCAGCCACCTTGAAGTCCTGACTGAGGGTGGCCAAAAAGAAGCTCACCGTGTTCGCGGTGAAGGTGTCGGTGGTCGGATCGTAGTACATCCGCGTGGTGTAGGACTTGCAGACCCAGTGGAGGAGGATCGGCGTCAGGAACAAGAACGAGGCCATGGAGCCTCCGAGGACCTTCATGGCCCCCGACTCGCCGGAGATGAATATCATCTGTATGATCAACAAGGATATGCCGCTGGTCGACAGAGAGAAGAGCTTGACCATCTTCACCATGTTGCTTAGAGGCCCCGTGTAGATGAGGTTATGATCTGGCAACTTCTTGTCGGTGGATTTGGAGAAAAGCCCTCGGACAGAGTCTGATGTGGACAGCCCTCGTACTGGCTGATGGGTACGTACATTCTATTCATTGAATAAAAAAATGTGGATTATAAGATAGACCTAAATCTGAAAATAATTTGTATTGGAGCATAAAAATAGATCTGGCGTTTGTGTCATTAAAAAATGACCTTTCCAACCTAAATTCTTATGACCCCTTTTAAACAAAATTTGAACAGTTTCTTGGTGTAGAAATTACGATTTTCATACGCGGTTTACGGTTGGTGCCGTGCAATTCAGCGCACCTTGCGCGTTCACGGTACATCGTGGTGATCGCCATCTTTATTTTCGTGTTGTGTTTTGTCATTCTCTATAGGGAACCGGGCCCGTAACTACATGATCGGCAAATATCTGGATGTAATTTCTTGGACACTGTCACGTGGCAATTTATTTTGAAAAAAATTATATAAAAGAAAAATCATGAGTGCACGTTATGGGTATAGAATATCCAACTGATGCTCCATATTGAACAATGGTGCATCATGATGTTACTAGTCAGTGCCAGTGGATGTTAAAAATATCAGACTGTCAGAAAACTAATTCCATATCCCCCAAAGTAAACATTGTCACTATTGTGTTGTGATGTACAACTAGCTGGAGTTACCCAGCCCTGAGTTTTATCATTGGGTTGTCTATTAGGGCTGGAGCGCATTTTTCTCGTAACTTGTAGTATTTGCAAAAAAAATTTGGAAAATGTTCAATTTTGTCCCCGTTACACACTAATTGCAACTGCAACTCACCCCAAACTTGCCTGGAATAACCATTACACAGGTCCTTGAAGTAAAAAACGATCCACGATGAAGATTCAGCCTACAATTGCAGTGAAAACAGGAGGAATAACCGCTAACCTGACAACCTTTCAGGCATGGCCAGGACTGCTATTGGTTTGTGCACAAAAAAAATTGTGTACAATGAATGGCGGTCGATTAACAGGCACAGAGAGCGATCGCTGTCAACTACTCGTTTTTGCCGGCTGCGCTGGCGTTGGCGCGTGACGTCACGCGGAAGCGTAACACCCGATGACTGTTTCATGCACTATTGGTTGCGGTTCCAGTACCAAAGCTGTGATGCGAGTGGTAAACCTTATACTAGTGCATGAAACAGTCGTCGGGTGTTACGCTTCCGCGTGACGTCACGCGCCAACGCCAGCGCCGGCAAAAAACGAGTAGTTGACAGCGATCGCTCTCTGTGCCTGTTAATCGACCGCCATTCATTGTGCACAATTTTTTTTGTGCACAAACCAATAGCAGTCCTGGCCATGCCTGAAAGGTTGTCAGGTTAGCGGTTATTCCTCCTGTTTTCACTGCAATTGTAGGCTGAATCTTCATCGTGGATCGTTTTTTACTTCAAGGACCTGTGTAATGGTTATTCCAGGCAAGTTTGGGGTGAGTTGCAGTTGCAATTAGTGTGTAACGGGGACAAAATTGAACATTTTCCAATTTTTTTTTGCAAATACTACAAGTTACGAGAAAAATGCGCTCCAGCCCTAATAGACAACCCAATGATAAAACTCAGGGCTGGGTAACTCCAGCTAATGTACAACTATAATCAACATGACTTACCTGAGATTCTAATTCAAGACCATCTCCAAACCACGTTTGATTCAGCACTCGACAAAACACTGGAATCGACTGAACTCTTGAGGCCGTCAGGTGACGACTGGTAAAAACATTACGTCGTGCTCTCGTTTGTATGCAAAAGGAACGTGAGTTTAGCACACTTCTTGCCGACGACATCGGCAATACATTTTTTGAAAACGCGAACAATCGATTTTGCAGCATTTTAAAAGACCTCAGAAATCTATGTTCAGTATTAATGTTTGGTAGCAAGTTATATTTCATATGACAAATTCTGCCTCCAATAACGTTCAGCCTAGTTTGAAATATGGAAAGAATTCACTCATATAAATCTGTGCACGACGACACGAGCTCTTGCTTTTACAATGGGCGCTGCCATCTTGGAAAGGCTGTTTTCGTACAACGAGAGCGATTGGTACAAAGTTTGAGACCTGTCCAATCGTCGTAGTCGTAATATCCCAAGTAGGGTTTGCCGTCTAACTAAAATGAAACGGTGGTGGCGCTATTTTGAAAATCGTGCCGAAGCGCGCCGTGAAATTCGGTTTATGTCTGTGTGCCGGGGATTGGGTCAAAATTCGTCCGTTTTTCGCCCATAAATAATTGGTAAATTTGTAGCATTGTGTAAATTTGCTTGTGTAGCTTGGGTCCTGAAAGTCAATTTGGAAAAATGTTGCAACCTGACGCCATTTCCGCGATTGTGTACAAAGTCTAATGGCATGAATGGAGAGTCAAGAAAATTTTCTAAGTACTAAGTAGGGCCTAGGCCTAGGCCTATTTTAGCTTGAGTAACTCCAGCTGACATGCTCATATTCATTCACATGTTACATGTGAATGAATATGAGCATGTCAGCTGGAGTTTTATACTCAAGCTACCTTTCCTAGCCCCCATATTGTTTCCAATTTAATACTGGACTACCTCCGTAAATAAAGGCCTTTATTTACGGAGGTAGTCCAGTAAATTGGCCACATTTAATTATGGGGCTATTCCTTAAAAAATTGGAAATGTTTCTCAGTCTCAGATTCATGTCTCATCATTTCTGCAATGAATGACCTTCATTGAGATGATATGATTATGAAGAAAAAAGTGACGTCAGGGGGTAACATTTTTTGGAAAGATTAATCCCAATTCCCATATCTGGCCATCAGTAATTTTTCCCATAAATGACTTATCAGCCATCAGAAAGTGATAATATGTCCTAAAAAGTCAAAATAAGCAAGGACAAATTGTGAGTTTTTACTGAGAAAAACACTTTCCTAACTTGGATTTTTGGAAGTTGGTGGTAGTGTTGGCATTTTAAAAGGAATTTTTGGTGAATGGTGTATAGTTTAGGAATATCACCCCATTCTGTAAGAGAACGAAAAAAACACTTTTATGTTTTGGGACTTACCTAAATAGTGGAAAGAATGTTGCAACCTGACGCCACTTCAGCGGTTGTGTACAAAGTCTACGGAGAGTGAAGAAAATGTTTCCTAACAAAATTGGAATGTTACTCCCAGATTCATGTCTTATCATTTTTGCAATGACTGACTTTCATTGAGATGATATTTGAAGAAAAAGCAGCTTCAGGTTGCAACATTCTTTCCTAAATAGTTGCCTGCAGGAAAAGTAACTTTATATTTTGTAGTTCTTTAAAATACCATATTAAGTACAGGGGTGTGAAATCTCAGCTTTAAAGCTGATTTCAGGGGTTTTTTTGTTTTGGATTTCGTCATTTTTTCAGCTTTTTCCCTTGCTGTGTACAAAAGTATAGGAGATTTCCAAAGTTCAGCTTCTTTACACCCTTTTTCAGCTATTTTCAGCTATTTTCATAAGTGTAAGTATCAGCAGACCTAAGTTTGTAGAATGAGGGCAGGAAAATGATGGGGTGAAATGATGACAGCGCATGAACTGCTGTGAGTGAGTCACACGTCTCTTAAAGTGCTAAAACAGATAAAAAAGTCGCATTTTACAAAATCACAAAATCCTAGAGTTGATTAAAAAAAACAGACTGCTTGGGGCTGCAAAAGTCATTTTGGAAAATTGACAGTCATTTTTGCGACAGTCATTTTTGGACAGAGCAAGTAACAAAGGGGACCTGTGTCCTTAAAGGGAATATACAACATTTGCAAACATCGAAAAATAAAACTATCAACTTTTTACGAATTACCTTACTAGGATGTTGGTAAATGACAGTCTAAAGCATCCTGTAAAATTATGGCACCTGGTGTCGAGTTATTTTCCAGAAAATGGCATTTTTGTATACATTTCCAACGGTGGTCGGCCGACCACCGTTGGAAAAACCTAACTATTTTTCAACTACTGCTCCAAGTTTACAATTTTTTTCAGTCCAAATTTTGTTTGCTATTGGTTACATGTTCATGAACGGGTGCAGGCCAGCTAGACTGGTTCCCTTATCTTACAATTTTCCGACATCTATAATTGATCCATTTTATCTTTAGTGGAGTCAGGGAACCAGACTACATAAACAGTTGTGTTTTTCTTGGTTTTTCAAGCATTTTCGAACACAACACTTCAAACATGTCAGTTAAACAATATTTGATCTATTATACTAACCCCTCAAATAGTTCATTTCTGAAAATTACAGCAAAAGCCAATGATGTACATTCCCTTTAACTACAAGACTACCCATTTTTGCATAACATCTTGTCAAGAAAATGATTTAGTTTTGGCCGACTTTCAACTGGGCTTAACAAGGGCAAAGGAATCCTTGCTCATTAATAAAAGCTGGCACTCATTTTTTTTCAAGTTTAGTATGCGTCCATCTTTTTTTAAGCTGGAAAAGTCACAAAACTGAATGGACACAAAAAGAGCCTTTAATTTAAAAAGGCTCAGACTTAGTCATTTGGGGTTGTTTGTAGCAATCGGGATGTTTGATTTATACTAGGCTTAATCCTTTTCAAAAACAAATTGGTGTTAAAAAATGCAACAGTGTTTGAGGCACCTAGCAGCGCATACTGTGGCTAAAACTTGAAATTAATTACAAGAAATCACTGGACATCCGCACCATTTTAACGACTTGGGCCAGCTAGTATGATAGTATATTTTTATGTCTACTGTAAAAGCTTTGCCTAGTTGGATTTATATTTTTATTAAAAGAAAATGTTTAGCGGTAGTTGCATTATCTTATATTAGATATTTTTTACTTTCTTAAACTTTAAAGGGCTCATATAATTATTTTTTTTAATGCAGGCCTTGGAAATGCACCTTTGCGACCCATTTTATCCTGTTTTCAATTTTTGTTTTGTCATTTACAAGGATATTTTTGTTGTTGGGTTTTTTTTGGCAAATTTCCATATTCATGAGCAAATGTGTGCTGTCATTTCAGGCACAGCATTTTCAGCACCAAAAGTTGCCAGAATTTTGGATATTTCGCTGTTGTAAATTTTCTTTTCTTTGGTGATTCGCTGTTGTGTCAGTACATGGCAGAAAGCCAATAAGAAAACCTTTCTCACAGATGTTTTCAATGAGCAAATTTTTAGTGCACATAACAATTTGAACAGAAAACCCCTAAACTGAACAGTGTCTTCCTGAAATAACATCACAGCAACACTTTGCAGCGCCCTCGGTTTTCCATAAAAGCATAGACAATTATTAAATGTTTAAAGAAGTGCACTTTTCAATAAAATTAACCAAAATAGATGTCAAATATCGTCATACATCTAAGAGAAGTGTAAAGTTGCACAAAATATGTTCCCAAGAAAAATTCGCTCGAGCCATTTAAGTTTTGGCCCTCACACCCGTTATTGGGGCCAATTCGAGGTCCACATTTTCAGACTTTTGCACTCGTAGGCCTACAACAACTTTACATACATTGTGGTGTTTATGTAGAGTACCTGGAATGGCTGTATTAATTAATAAGATGGCCTGGGGCAAATCATGGATCCTTTTGATGTTCCGTTGAAAGCGTGAATGCCCCCTGCCTGAGAGAAAATCAATATTCCGATGGAGGATTTAGCAGACAAAAACCACATAATGGAACGATAAGAATGACCGAGAACAGTAAAGTATAGAGCTTGTAAATGAACTGTGAACGTCCAGATGTGTGGACTGTAGTAGGCACTTGGTTGTACATGCATTTAGCTGAGAGTTTGTTGAAGAATTTGTCTCAGGTAGGGTCTTAAGTTTTGATCAAGGTTGGTTATTTTTTTTGTTTCCTTATATTCAAACAGTGTCCAATTCATAACTTTTAAGTCTGAATCATGTGGTTTCATATGTTGTGTAACTTTTTCAGTGAGTGATTTCGTGTAGGAAACTGCCATTCATTTTGTGTCTAGCAAAACTAAATTTGTGAGTAATCTGAAAATTCTGCATTGCCAAAAAAAAAAAAATCTTCTCTGCAATATTTTCTAAGGTGCTATGGATACCTGTCAATTCTTCTCTGTGACAGGTACACATTCCATCCAGCTCAAGTATAACTTGGTGTTCGCTTTTTGAGGAACTATTATTATATGCCAGTTTGTGTCAAACAGGTAGTTAAGGTAGAGTGGACCATTTGCAGCTATCCAAAAAGTGACTGACCAAAATGCTGTTAAAAAAACTTAAAGATAGTAATGACACTAAACTCCCTGTGAATTGTTCCTTCTGGCATGCTGTCACCTTGCAAAAAACAATGGGGTCTACCCGATGTTCCCCAATACCGATGTTCCCCGAAATCCTTAGGATTAGGGTTAGGGTTGGGTTAGGGTTAGGGTAAGGATTTCGGGGAACATTGGTATTGGGGAACATCTATAGTATGAACCCAAAACAATAAAAGAAGTTTTTTTCCAATGATGTGTCAAGTGACACATTTTTGGAAATGGTACCCGACTAAATTTAGTGCAAATATACATGTATGGGAGTCCAGAGAGGCCACATAAAGCTTATTCTCGATCGTAACCCCATCTAAAAACACATTAAAATTGTGCAGCAGCAGGATTCCAGTCAAATCAGTGAGTTTGGCGGTTTTGAGACATCATCTTTCATTGAAATTTTTTTTTCTCATTTTGCCGATGCGCATGGCTACGGCGACACGCGCATACCAGAAACTGGAGACTTTTTTTGTTTTGGCCTAATCGTGCCATTTTGCATCTTTTTTGTGTGTAGGCATACATTTCTTCTGTGAAATTGGACCCTACATTTATACTTTGATGACACTCAAAACCTGTCACGTACCTGGACTCGACTTTCAGACAGGGCCTGAGAGAGAAAGCTCCGATGCAGTCCTGGAACCAGACACAAGTGAGGAACTATTTGAAGATGTCGTTGTTCTGTTTGTAGCCTCCTAGTCACTTAACCTTGGACTTCCCAACACAAGGATGCCATTGCAAGGTAACCTCGGGCCTCTGTTTTTGTACATATCAGTTTATTTCAAATGTACTCAAAGATTGATTCATAGAAATGACAAAAATTGGTCACAACTGTTCGTTTGAAAAGATTTTTAAAACAACAAAAAATGGGCAGTTTTAGAGAAACGCCACTTTTTTAAGTTCGTGGTCCTTAAATGCTCTTTTTTTTTATTCAATTTTTTGAAAATTATAAAAATTAAAAGAATCTGTCTCATTGGCCTTTGCTTGTTTCTAGAAAGAGTTTCTAGAAATAAAACTTGCTAGTTTCCCAAATGCAACATTTTTATGAGACCATCTTATCGTCCTTTCAAATCTTTCCAGAAACTGTTTTGAAATTTCTTTCAATATGAGTTTAAACAAAATCAGTTCCTCAAAGTCTGGTAACCTTCATACCCCAAATTTGTCCAACCGTCTCCTGAAATTTCAAAATTGAGGTCTAGAATTTTTCTGTATACAACAGAGGAATCTTTATCCTTGCTTAGTCACAAAGGCAGTAGTAAATATAAGCACAATTGATTCATCATTATACTTCTTTTTGAAGTTCTTTCACTTTTTTGTTCATCATTATATCACCGGAAGAGGATTAGGCCAAAAAAAAAAAATAAGTCGGTCTCTGGTCAGCACGCGCGTCGATTTTAATCATGCGCGTCGATCTTTTTTTTTCTCCAAAATGTTCCGCGGTAGCTCCAACAGCGCCCTCTATTTCCGCACCTCCTCAATTTTTTTACCAAAGAGCACGAAGGAATGGGAAATTGCACCAAGGCAAATGATCGAAAGCACCTAGGCAAATTATGGAGGACACCAATGTACATGAGGACACCAAAAAAGCAAAATAGTACCCACCTTGTCTGTACAATCCAAGCTTAAAGAGAAAAAAAAAACCAAAAAAAAAAAAAAAAAGCCGCGTGGCCGCGTCAATTCCGGAACTTTGGTCTGACCAGAGACCGAATATTTTTTTTTTTTGGCCTTACTTGCCATGACCACAAATCCAGTTGTGGAGTTACTCCTGGCAGGATTTTTGTCTGCAGGCTTTTCATGTCCTGGTAATCACTGGACATTTCTATAGACTGCTCTGAGTGAGCTGGCTGTGATTCAGAAACAAAAACCACAAAGTTGATTGGGAAGTCACTGGGGTTGACTCCACATCTTTTAGTTTTCTTGGGCTCAATATAGCCTACTGAGCGCATTGGTTGTTTTTTTGTGGATTAGGAGTTCTAGTTTATCGGGTATCTACAACAATAACAACGTATTGACCAAAGACTAAAGATGCATACACAGTCGGATGAAGAAAATGTCATCAATTCAGATTCTCACTCAGAATTTCCTTTACAATGCCATTGGGGTCTGACAATTTACCCAACATTCAATTTTCAAAGATAACGTGCTATAAAAACATGTCTGATAAAAAAAAATGTAATCAGTTTTGATTTTTTAGTTAGTATAGTAATCACTTTTTATTTTCACAGGGAATTTGGCCCTGCCCTGCCAAAGGGTCTTTTGCAATCGTTTTTCATTTTTGATGAAAGAAATGTAATCAGTTCAGATTTTCACTAAGAACTGTCCCAATACCACCAGTGGGGAGAGAGGGGATTACAATCTTTCCCCACTTTCAATTTCACGGATAACTTCTGCTGAGGACAAGTCCATCTGCTTCCAGTTTTTCCACCCAATTTGCCAAATTTCTTTCCCTCAAGAACCATTACAGAAGAGAGTTCAGTCCATGACTAGGGGCAGGTGCTTAGCCCTGGTTGATGAACAAAGGCATCCCTTGATGAGATCCCAGTATCACGCTAATCCCATCCTGGGGCCAAACACTGGTCTGATTCCCCATTCCCCCCCCCCCCCTCCAAGTACCGGTAGTGGGACATCATCACATGCATCACCAGTGTCTCTGTCAGCCAGCTCTCCTCACACGCTGCGCTGTGGAACATGTGAGACCCATCATTGGTTACAAGTAGAGTCCTTGAGCGGTAGTGTACACAGACTCTGCACTCCATGCCACCGTGCCACACACTACTACCGCAGAGGTCACTCATGCATAACAAGAAGGTTCTGTGTTCCCTCCAAAGTCTTGAGCATGATGTCCTTCCAGTTTAAGCAGCGTGCACAGAGATATGGCCTATTGATAATCCTTATTCACTGAATGGCATGTGTGGCTCCCAGATTTATTTGGAAGAAGCAGTAGTTTGTTTCTTTTGTGAATGGTGTCTGTGGGGGCTTTTGTGTCAGTCCTTTCAGCTCAAGAAAGGCTTTTTTTTCTGGTCGCTCTTTTTTATCTGATGCTTGCGCCCATCTGCAAGGGGCTGCACAAAGACACCGAAGGACCATCACATACTTCTGCTTCGAGAGATAAACAGCGCCAACTCTTGCATCACCACACGCGTACTCCATGCTCAAACCGTCTCTCTGATGAATATATTCCAAGCTGAGGATCTTCAAATTCTTCAATAGGCTTGTTCTGTGGTTTGACCGCAGTGCCGGCATGCACTTTTGATATCAGGTCACATCATTACTCCGTATCAAGGATGGATTAAAAAAGAGTTGTTGGGTCAACTCCAAAAACCGCAAGCCGTGTGTGTGGGTGGAACAGACAAGAGGGAGGATTATATCTTGGATTGAGTTTCAACTAGCATACCTCAATTTCTAAAACAGGATATGATTACTTGATCACAGAGTTTGTACTACTCTTGATTGCTTTACGTGGACCAGTTGATGACAAGTGGTACATTTGTGAACTGGAGAACATCAGAATTTTTGAGTTATCTGTTGGAAAAAATGACTTCAAACTCCAAAGTTGACTCCGTGAAGGAATGACCTGGGCCTGTTATATCTGTCATTCAGTGGTCATTTTATTTTTATCCAATTATGTTTCGAGCCATTGTCAGATCGGCTTATCGAGCCATTCGTCCTCTGGTGAGAAGAATCTTGGTAAGTATTGCCTGCTGCATTGACTGTACACTCACACTATGTACAAAATATTAAGTTTAGAAAGAATTTTTAAGGATAGGTTACCTTTTGTATGAATCATTGTGTACCTGTATTATAGCGTTGAAAGTTTACAATAACAGAAACAAAAACTGTTATGCGACAAGACAAAATAGTCACTCCAGAAAGTACCATGGTGTGTGGAGTTTTGGGGAAAATCTGGGAAAGAATGTAGTATCCAGACACCACTTAAGCAGAACTTTGTGTACAATTACAAAGTCAATGGAGAGTCAAGAAAATTTCTTAACAAAATTGGAAATGTTTCTCAGTCCCAGATTCATGTCTTTTTTGACATGTTTGCAATGACCATAGAGCCAGGACCCATATTGAGATGATATACATGATAAACCGGTATATTGAGAAGAAAAAAGTGGCGTCAGGTTGCAACATTCATTCCAGAATCTGCTCATGAAGATACAGTCTGGAGATTGTTCCTAATGGATTTATCATTTTTTTAAAATTGAATTCATGTGAAGATTGAATTGTCATTTGCAGTATCCTGAGTATGGTTTCCCTTCTCTCAGTTCTTTTTCTTCCAGTTTCAAGCAAAAGTAAGGGAAAGACAGCAACAGTTTTCACAGTTCTTTTCAGTGAAATAAAGCACCTTAAAAGTATAACAAAATAAAAAATAAAAAAAAACAACATCTGTTCATCTCAACTTCTCAAGTCATAATTTACGACTGAAATAACACAGCGCATTCCATAGAACACATTTGTCATCCCTCCTTTAACTTTTTAACGAATCTCCCAGTGTGGCTATTGTGAGGAAGAATGTCTCGGAATTGAATAACACATCTGTGTTATGATAATTAACAATGACATATTTACAATCTGTTCCTAAATTCGCAGATAGCTAGTGAAGAATTAAAGGAAAATCTTACATGCACGTACAAGGACATCTGTGTTGTCATATAAATCAGCGCATGACATATTTACCATCTAAAAATGAAAAATTGTTTGACAAGCTTCCCTCCAAAAAGTTGTTGGGTCAAAATTCTTGTCTGCATAGTCAGTTTGTTTTGATGGCGAATAGTACAAAATTGCATTTTACTGCATTTGTTTGTAGACGTCATGCGAGTGGGGACTGTCACTTTGTAGTTAATTTCATCTCTCCTTATTTGGTAATTAAAGGAAAGAATTATCCTACAAAGAATTTTCCCCTTTATTATCATCATAGGATTGTACCCAGAACTAACCTACACATGTATGTAAAAATGCTTGCAGACCCTCCGATGTTTCTCTGACAAGTTTTTGAGGGCTGTGAACAAAATCTTGTAAAACTGAGTAAATAATCAAAGCTGACCGTGTCTTTCAACGAGGGCAGTATATTGCCTGTTACTCCAGGTTTTCTATCCAGCGAGTTGGCATTGCAAGGTTTTTGGTGGCCGAGGTGGTGATGTGTAGCTTTCAACTTGTACATGTGTAACCCGGGAAACTCGAAGCGACAAAATGTAAAATAAAAGTATTAATCATTTGGGTTGAAGTTGTAACCAAATTTCTCCAGATCAGCCAATTCTCAAAGCACCTTGTTCTTTGCTTGTTCCAATTCAATTTGTCCCTCATTAACCCTCCTATGCAAACAATCCCAAACATACATTCTGTGCCAAGTAGTCCTTTCAGTCAAAATCAAACAAGCGACAGTTAAGAATTCCCAGCCTACATAAAGCAGGATTGACTGGCTGGGACTGTTTAAGTCACTTGATACAGCTACATGTATGCTTGACTCCAGGTGAGTGATAAAACAGCTGTGTCCACAATTTGCCTGCTTTGTCCGTGACCCAGTTTGACTCGTCACTGTGCTTGCTGAACATATGATGTGACTGCTGGTGACTAGCCTTTGTTAGCAGGGGAAGTGGAAGTCAATTTTGACTGTCTTTGACTGTTTAAATAGCAGCAGTTTTAAGGAAGCCACACGTACAAATGCATGTAAGTTTGGGACACTTAAAATTGCAGGTGTGAGTATCACTTGTTTTATGATCTTTTCTTTAATTTGAATAA